AATAAGTGAAGCATTAATGAAGACATCTACAGTATTTCTTATTTCTTTTTTAGAAGGTGCCCTTTGCCAGGTGTGGCATGAAAAGGTGCCAAGCAGGAGAGAGGAAGAGAGTTCCAGAGGGCGAGCAGGTTTGCTGCTACCAATGTGCCCCTTGCCCAGAAGGCACCATTTCTAATCAGACAGGTAGAACAAACTTTCTACGTAGATCTACCAAGATCAAGGAAGCCATTCAGTAGAAACAAACATCAATTTTATTGTCATTTTTTGTAGATTAACATTCTTCATTCTCAGCAGAACCTCTGAGTTGGTTCCTCCCCCCTTCTGGCCACCTTTCCTGTTCATCAGCAATTTAATGCAGGATAGCTTCAGGGCACAATTCATGAGTTCTCTATTAGAATTTCTCATCCTACTCGTATATCTAACTACATACAGGAAAATCAGATACCAAACTTTTCATGAAGTAGTTGGATGTGAGGTTAAACCTTTGATTTTCATTATTTAGGGAGTGTTTTCTTCTTTCAGTGCTATCAGTCACCCAGGAGCTAGACAGACCTGTTGGGGAAGAGAGACATCCATCCAACTCTGCCCTTTCCTGCAAAAAATAAATATATATTTGAATTGATGTAAAGTAAAGAACTTGATCCTAAAAGATGCCTCAAACTAACCTCTCCCCAGGATAATCAATATTGAAGGATGATTTGTCCTATTTGATAGACCATCAAATACAAACTGACTCTTGATTTCAGATGCAGCTTCCTGTGATCCCTGCCCAGAAGACCAATATCCCAACATGGACAAAGACCACTGCATTGCCAAGAAGAACCACTTCCTTGCCTACCAAGAGCCTCTGGGATATACTTTAGCTTTGCTCACACTTTCTCTCTCCGTAATCACATTGGGAGTCCTGACAATTTTCCTTAAACACCGTGACACACCAATAGTCAAGGCAAATAATCGAGATCTGACATACATCCTCCTAGTCTCCCTCCTGTTCTGCTTCCTCTGCTCCTTCCTCTTCATTGGTCGACCCAGGAAGCTCACCTGTCTCTTCCGACAAACCACCTTTGCCATTATCTTTGCCCTTGCAGTTTCCTCTGTCTTGGCAAAAACAGTCACAGTGGTTCTGGCCTTCATGGCCACCAAGCCAGGGAACAAGGCAAGGAAATTCTTAGGAAAGCCATTGACCAACTCCATTGTCTTAGGCTGTCCACTGGTCCAAGCAGTTCTTTGTGCCACTTGGCTGGCAACCTCTCCCCCATTTCCCAGCTTAGATTTCCATTCCTTGATAGGAGAAACCATCTTGGAATGTAATGAAGGCTCAGGTTCAATGTTTTACACTGTTCTGGCCTACCTGGGTTTTCTGGCTCTTGTGAGTTTCACAGTGGCCTTTCTGGCCAGGAAATTGCCTGACAGCTTTAATGAAGCCAAGTTCATTACTTTTAGCATGCTGGTCTTTTGCAGTGTTTGGATCTCATTCCTCCCCACNTTTGAATAGTTTGTATCCTTCCATCACTACATTCCAGTCATGAGTTTCATCCCACCAAGTACACCTCATGTACTAGTATTTCAAGTTCACCCTGTCTGTCTGTCTGTCTGTCTGTCTGTCTTTCTTTCTTTCTTCCTTCCTTCCTTTCTTTTTTTCTTTCTTTCTTTCTTTCTTTCTTTCTTCTCTTTACTCCCTACATCCTCATATGATTGGATATCTAGTTGTTTTTGCTTGGAATTAAGTTATTAAGGTCATGATCACTCTACTCCCCACTCAATTTTAGCCTAAACCACTTGTGATAAAATGAACCACTCGTTTCCCAAATATATTCTTTCCTGTTCTTGTAAGGTGCAGTCCATCCCTTGCCAGGAGACTTTCATGTAGGTAATGCAGAACATGGTATCCGAAACCAGAGTTCTCTCGATGACACCAATTTTAAGTTTTTAATCATTTCTAAAATCCTTAGCTCCCTCATTGGATGTTGGCCTTTTGTTGGAAATATAGATGAAAACACCACCTGTGTTCCTAATTCTTTAACTTGTTTCTCTAGCTTATTATTGTTTTTAAATTCTTTGTTGTATTATTGGTGCCCCGCATGTAGAAGAAGGAGAAGAAATGTGTAGAAATCCATGGGGTTGATTATTTCATCAAGTTCTCAGTGGTATCTTTGCTTTTTGCTCCAGGGAGACAACATACCTGCCTAGATTGATTGTTCAGTCTGTACACAATAGTTTCTAGTTTCTTCTCTTCCCTAAGAATTTTCAGGGAAAAGTAACTGTTGAATTACTGATTAAATACCAGTATGGTATTATATTACTGCATCTCAAAGAATATTAAAGCAGAAGTATTTTTAGCTCCACTTGAATTGTTGCGATTGTTGTGTAGTTTTTAATCTCTTTCTTGTATCTTGTTTTTGTCTTGTTCGTTTTTTGTATTTCCCCCTTCCCCATTTGTTTGTTAGCCACCCTGAGTCCCTAGGGAATAGGGTGGCATGCAAGTATAATAAACAACAAACAACAAAACAACAGTAATACAGATTAAGTATAGTGTTTGATTCAATAGGGGTAGAAGGGGGAAGGAGAAATAAAACAAACCAATTGTACCTACGATTCATGGATGTATGACCTTTCCAAAAGTTTTCAGAAGTATTCAGAGGTTGTGTGACTTTTATGGAGTAGCCATTCATAGAGGGATCCAGAGCAAGAGGACAATTTTGCCAGATACTTCAGCAAGTCAACTGAAGTCCTAGTAGACATATTTGCAGAACCACCTCCATTTCCTTCATGTTGTAGCTTGAATCCAGTTATAGAAAGACACTTGAATGAATTCATTGTAACCCTGATTTATGTTAGTGTGGACCATAAATGTGCATGCTGTGTGATCCCATCCCAGGTGTTTTGTTTGCCATTTGTGGCACATTTGTGGCTTGTTGTGTGAAACCAGCCTTGGTCAACTTTAGCACACAGAACCGAACTCTATTTATTTATATTTGTTTATCAAACATGTACAAAATAGCAGGTATAAATATAAACATGGACATGAACGAAAAAAATAATAATACAAATACATGTGGTCTAAACTTTATGAAATTGTAGGGATTTTTTCTGCATCAAAGCATAAAGAATGGACCTCTATGACCACTGAAATCATAAATCAAGGAAGGTACTGTGAGGAAAACAAATTCTTAGAGGTGTGGAAATTGTTAGCAAATTCTGAAGGTTTCTTTTCATTCAGCTTCTTCCCTATTTGAGGAATATCCAGTTCAACAACACTGTTGGAGATGAAATCTCCTTCTCAGAAAATGGACTGGGATCTTCTCGTTATGATCTTCTCAACTGGGTTCTCTTCCCCAATGAATCTTTTTTCCCTGTGAAAGTTGGACGAATAGATACTGGGGCTCCTGCAGGACAAGGTTTCACCATTAACTCTGATGCAATTGTCTGGGCAAAAAAGGTGAGCTAGAAGGTGAAATAAGTCTACAAAAGAATCAGGGGATTCAAAACATCTCCTTTTGTTGGAGAACGGGTACGGAAACAAAAATTTGTCAACCATTTGATGGAAAAGCTGTTTTGCCTGTAATATATTTGAGGACTGATTTGTGACTGATCAAAAAGGGTTGATATAAGGAAGAAATTCTGCTTGAAACCCAGGATGCAGATTGAGTAGCCAAGAATGATTTACATGGACCATTCCCATTGAGTTAGATCTCCATCACTGTTGCCTTCAAAAAAGCTATAGCTCAATTCACAACCCTACTTTTGCATGCCAAGTCCTAGTTCCAATCTCCAGAATCCATTGGTGGTTAAGTGGCACTAGCCTTAAACCCCCGGGAGCTTTTCTTGGTTTGTGCTACACTTGGATTAAACATTGCCCTTTGAAGATATTCTAAAGATGGAAAGAGAAATATAAAGAAATGAAAAAGTGAAGCATTAATAAAGACATCTACAGTATTTCTTTTTTTTATTTTTTAGAAGGTGCCCTTTGCCAGGTGTGGCATGAAAAGGTGCCAAGCAGGAGAGAGGAAGAGAGTTCCAGAGGGCGAGCAGGTTTGCTGCTACCAATGTGCCCCTTGCCCAGAAGGCACCATTTCTAATCAGACAGGTAGAACAAACTTTCTACGTAGATCTTCCAGGATCAAGGAAGCCATTCAGTAGAAACAAACATCAATTTTGTTGTCATTTTTTATAGATTGACATTCCTCAACGTATTCATGCTTTTCAGCAGAACCTCTGAGTTATTGGATATAAAGTGGCTTCTCCCCATTTCTAGCCACCTTTCCAGTTCCTCAGCAATTTAATGCAGGATAGGTTCAGGGCACAATTCATGAGTTCTCTATTAGATTTTGTCATCCTACTCTTA